TATTTTATTTTTATAATTTAATGTGTTATTAAAATGATTTATTTTTTTAATTTATGTGAGATTCATGATATTAAATGTATCTACTCATTTAATAATATATAAAAATTATATAAAAATATTATTTTTATAGTACCACCGAAATAAAAATGATAATAAAAGTTTGATATTTCTAAATTAAAAATATAATGTTTGATATTTAAAAATTTAGAGAAGTCAAGGCTCACAAAACCCATCTCGCTAAATTTGTAATGATTGATTTTCACTATAATTAGCCCTAAGTAGAATTGAAATTTTTTTATAATATTTAAATTTGATACGATGTATTTAACTTAATTTTTCAAAAATAAACTTTTATCAAAAATTAATATTTATTTTAGAAACATATCTTAACACCAATCACTAAATAAAATTGAAAATTTTTTATTGTAAGATTTAAATTCAGAATATGTATTTAATTTAATTTTTTAAAAATCAATACTTATTTTTGAAACATATCTCAATACTAATTATTATATAAAATTGAAAATTCTCAATTGCACACTTTAAATTTAAGACGTGCACTCATTGTACGTATTTCTCGCGTCACATACCTCTTAAAAAAGGTATTAAAACGACGATTATGGAAAGAAATAGAAATAGCATTATGGTCAAAAAAAGGTTGGTGGTGTTGCACACATCAACTTTACTTTTAGCTCGCATTAAAGATTGGCTGAGCTAACCAAACAGAAATTCTAGCAAATGCATTAAAAATCAGTATCCACTTTTCAGCAGCAAATGAAATTTGGTTGTGTTATATGGTAAAGAAGAACATTGCTCTTTACCATAGAAAGCCTGCCTAGCGAAAGAGGGCAGGGTTCTTCTATTTTGCCTTGTCTTTCTCAAATCTCAGTCTAGTGGATTTATTGTCCACACCACATTCTATAGTGCTAGAGCAAGAGAATAAGGACCACCATTATCAACAGCACTACAAGGTTTAAAGCCCAATTGCTTTGATTTATCTTTAAAGCTTCATATATATGTTCTGTTCTGGATTACAGTTTTATATATGTTTCGAGTTACACGTGGTTAAGGTTTGAAGAAGTTGGCATTTAAGCCTTTATCAGCTAAGTTCCAAGCAGCTGCTACTACTAACAACATGCTCAAAACAATTCCTAAGCATCCTAGTCCTAAGTTAAGGCACCAAATGACACCATTCTTTTGGGGTCTCTTGATTGAATTCCACATGAAGCATGGGTAAGCATAAGTCAATAATGATAATGTCATTCCTCCAAGCAGAATCGCTAGACTCCCTAAAAATGGAAAAGCCACAGCTATCAAGAATGTCAGTCCTCCGAAGAAAAGGCGCAAACCAGCACGAACCAACCTTGAACATGGCTTCTTCTTCTTGCTGATGTAGATGAATTCTAAGTTGTCAAAAACCGGCATGGCATAGATTTGGTAGGAGCACAAGCAGCCTATTAGTAGCAATAGGTAGATTAAGCCTATCACATACTTTGATGTGTCATGTCTGTGAAACCGAGAAAATGCAGATAAGGTTCCTAAATTCATAGGTACCTGGAAAGAAATTGAAGGGAATTGCGTTAGATCATCTGCAAAAAGTGGAATTCATTTGAGATAGGCAAAATCATGATTACATTGTTTCCATAAGCCCAAAATCCAACTATTGCAAGTGGAAATAAACAAATTGCTATTATGATATATGAAACTGTTACTCCTCTCCACATTGATTTGCATGCTGGGTGCTTTTCATTGGAAGGCAACGTTCCCTGCATCAGAATAAGCACTTCCCATCAATAAACATCACTGTAAAGAAGAAACAAAAAGGACTCTGTAGAATACTATTTATTAGTTTTGTTCGAACTAAAGCTCATCCTTTAAGACTCAGGGCATTATAAGCATTGTAGTCATTTTTAG